AGGTTTGTGTCTGTTGTTTAGAATAGAGGCTAGACTCTAGATAAATGAGAAAATAACTTGAGTGTCTATTTACCCGACTGTGCTAGAAGGAGGGTTATGTTTTTATACTTCTAGACATAGAACTGATAACTACTAATATAGAAACTTAATTAACTGTCTTCAGAATCAGTTACGGATTTGATGACAGATCAAGTTCATTTAAAAACTATTTCTTCTAAATTTTCTCACATTTGTACATTAAAATATGAATCGGAATTGCTCAGTTAATGGTGTAAAAATATAATAAATATCTAAATATAAATATAACTCAAAGGTGACTGTCTAACTGACATACTATAGTGATCTATCAACGCACAGCCCAAACCACTGGACGGATCGGGCTGTTTGACATGCAGGTAGATGTTATGACGTAGGCATCCGCTAAGAAAGGATTTTGATCAATTCCACCCCTAAGGGGTAAAACGGGATTCATGCGTCCGAAGTCGCGGGCGGCCGCTAGTTTTCCATATAATACCTACATATTTTTTTTGTGAATTTAAATGTTATTCATTTATTTTTTTTACTCATTTTTTTTTCTAAGCCCCCGTGACCATTTTCTCGACCAACATCTCAAGAGAAATGGTGGTGTCTGAAAACCAGCGCTGTCTAGGGCAGGTAGTCCTTGGCGGCACATGCTAAGCCACCTCCATTTGCTTTTTCTTTTAGCATATAAGTTATTTTAAGCTTATAATGTTATTTTGTTTCTTGTAATTCCTTTTATGTGTAAAAAACAATAAACGGTTTTATATTTATTTATTTATTTATTTAAAACTCCATCTAGGTATTTCAAAACTAAGCAAAGCTTGTACCGTTTACAAAGAACAGTCTATCTCGTGTCAAGAAGGTATACCTACAATAGTTTAGACGAAATTAATCTGGACAAAAGGTCACCGACCTTAGCCTACGAATGTACCTGCTGTCAACAAGTGATGTAGGTACAACAGACTGTTGTACCTACCTACATCACTTTTACAATAAGACAAAAATCTGAAAATATGTATAAAAGAAAGTCGTGTTAGTTACACCACTTATAACTCACGAACGGCTGAACCGATTTAGCTGAAAATTGTCAGGGAGGTAGTTTAGAGCCAGGAGAAAGACAGGATCCCATAGGACTTTTTATCCCGTTCGACAGCATTCCCGTGTGATTTTACATGAAACGTCAGTCACTATAAAACGTGGTATAACAAAAAAGAATCAGACTTGGAATAACAAACCACGCGTGCGAAGCCGCGGGCGGAAAGCTAGTTTATAATATTAGTAGGATAATCTGAAGTCACTAACGTTTGACGTCTCTAAAACACCCTCCCATACCATAGGCACTGAGTCAAGCTCTCCGCCTATAACAATCTACCCCATCAAAGGAGTGTCGCTCAATAGTTCGGAACCCAATTCAACATGCCTTTGTTGACTAAGTAGCAATTTGGGAACGGACCCAATAGATCAGTGGAGGATAATACGTGACATATTGCCTATTCGATTCCTGATAAGGACAGGAATATAGTGCTGATTGCTTGATGTATGTGTGGTGAATTACGAGAAAGTGAGGGTAGATTCACATTGCTGTGTTAGGTCTTGGGTTCTATTCTACCCATTTTAGGTACCCATATTACTTCTTCCTAGTACTTCTTTCAAAGGTCACGCAAAACTGGACTGTCGTGTAAATTAAATGTGTTTGAAATTAGAATTACAAACTCGAACGGTACGGTTTCTGCGGTACACTGCAAACGGGATGTTCGTGTGAACGTTAATAAATATTAAAACACGATACTAAACGGGATCCTGCAAAAAACAGGATATCCGTGGGAACAAGCCTTTAATATGGCCTCATAATATTATGGCAGATGATATGATGATGACTTAGGAAAGATGGTGGTTAGCTAGCCAGACGGACTAACTAAAACGAGAGAAAATTTTTGAGAAAGTTCTCACTCCACTAGAACACATATGCGGGTATTATGATTTTGTCTACACTTCTACATTTGTATTATACATAATATAGGCTCCGAAACTACTGGACCAATTTAAAAAATGTTTCATCATTACAATTCTACATTATTCTGCTCAACATAAACGGTTCGTAAACCTCATAAAGGTAGCAGGAAGGCGCTGGATGCAGGCCGCTACCAACCGGCCATTGTGCATGGAAATCATTGGGGGAGGCCTATGTTCAGCAGTGGACGTCATGTGGCTGAAATGATGATGATGATAAGAGGTACGAAACTCGCCATGTCAACTAGTTTTTTAAATAAACAAGTAATAGAAGCCGAGCTTCAGGATATACTCATCAAACGTTAAGACGAACTTAAAAAATATGTTAATAAATTCCAAAACAACATCTGGCTGCTAATTTCCAAAACTTTGAAAGGTACTTGGGTTAAGAACTTAATCTCTTAATGTTATCGCAAGCTTAGTACTGCTGATTAATTCATGAGCTTTTTAGGGTTCCGTACCCAAAGGGTACATACGGGGCCTTATTACTAAGACTTCGCTGTCTGTCACCAGGTTATCGCCCGTATTCATAAACATTACTATGAGGTCTCACAGTGCACAGAGACACATAAACCAATCACAGAGCTCTATTTAACGCTGTGCGTTCGATATTCTGCTTTTTTTTTATCCACAACGAGGAAGTTCTTGGCCTGAATCTCATCTGATGGTAAGTGACGATCAGGCCGAAGGTGGAAGCGAGCTTCACCCGGAATCCTCAAAGGAAATGGCTATCTTACCTCTAACTGCTCGAACACAACAATGCTGTTAACATTGTTGTTATGGCGACAGACTTAGGTATGATGATGGTAGCTAGCCAGGCGGACTTAGAACAAGCCCTACCACCAACCAAACAGAGCTGAAAAATCTGCCCCCACTGGGGGAATCGGACCCGGGACCTCTGCGTCTGAAGCAGGTGGTCTTACCACTAGACCACATAGGTGGTTACACGTAAGCAAGCATCGTTTGTGAGGGCGTGAATCTTATGAACTATGATAGCTCGACAGTTGAAATTTTTACGATGATGTATTTCTGTTTCTGTTATAACATAGGTAAAATAGAAAAAATATAATAAAGTAAACATTTAACGGGGTTCCCTACAACAACCAAATCGTCGTACGGAACCCTCTGTGCACGAGTCCGAGTCGCACTAAGCCAGTTTTTTAAACAGCCCCGAGCTTTGGCCTTGTCAAAACAACAACTTAGAATACACACGCGTACCTATCTTGTAAAGATTTTATGCAAGAGCTGTCTAAAACAATTTTCAGTAAATATTTATGCTAGCTTCTGGAATTTAACTAATTTTAGTCTATAAAGTAACCTTTAGACTGGATAAAATTCGAGATCTAAAACTGCCGAATTACTTTTAATTTTTTCATTGTTTAATATTATTTACTTACTGCCATCTTCGGTCAGATCATCACTTTCCATCGGTGAGATGCAGGCTAAGAGCTTCCTCGTTGATAAAAAAAACTTAAATACCTAATATCTTGTAAGTACCTGAAACAAAATAAATCGATCGTTATTAATCTGACAGAAGTGCTACATGTTTACCATAAATACGTATTTAGTTTATAAGACTTGGAATTACTTCAGCTGATACAAATTTTATTTTCGCTGACTTAGCGCGACGGATTAGCAAGCCGAAGTGGGACTGGGCAGGGCACATAGTAAAGTTCTAGAGTACCGAAATATCAGCGTGGGATGTCCACCTATATGGTGGACAGATGACCTCATAAAGGCAGCAGGAAGGCGCTAAATGCAGGCCGAGACAACATGAACAGCAGTGGGTAGTTTACATTGTTGCCGATAGTACATATTGTACAGTCAGCGTCAAATATTTCGTGACACCCAAAGTGGGCTAAAGTGGGGCCAAACTATGAATAAAAAAACTGGGCCTAAGTGAAGCAGCAAATCGAACGCACAGCGTTGAATACAGCTCTGTGATTGGTTCGTGTGTCACCCTGTGCGTTCACGCGCACTGTGAGACCTCGTAGTAATGTTTGTGAATACGGGCGTGAGTCTCTATTTCGACCTAATGACACAACAGGCCGAGTAATAGGCAATATCTTCTAATTTAGCTTCGATCCAGACTCAAATTAAGGAATTCCTGGAATACCCCAGAGTTCCAGATATTCTCCGGACGGTACTGGTAATTTCCAAGCACTTATGGAACTTCTAAGGAATATGATTGTTTTTTAGAACAGCCTCTCCATATTTTTTACTTGAGAAATGAGGATAACTTATTCCAAGGCTAAGCGAAGGCATCCACGTGCTCTTTAACAGCGTAGATTAGATAGTGATTAATTTTCAACCTTGTAGTGGTAACTTAAACGTTCAAAATCTATTGATTTTTTTTTCACTTTGCGATATGTTGATGTGCTAAACAGCTACAGAAAAAAAAATAGGAAAATTACTAGGAATTAAACAAGGAAAGAAAAATAAAATGGGAATAACTAAGGACGATCTGGTGAAGGTCGCGGGAGGTGCCAGGATTCGAGCGGCGCAGGACCGGTCTTTGTGGAAATCCTTGGGGGAGGCCTTTGTCCAGCAGTGGACGTCTTTCGGCTGAAACAAACGAACGAACGATATAAGGAGCATTTTAACTATTTAAATTATAAGTTGCATCTGGGGGGGCACGGCAATGCCCCCGCCAAGTCGAGCAAAAATCTTATATTAGAGGAAGGGGTGGTAATTTGGAACCCTACTTTGTTTTTTGAATATTTAAATAAAACTATTTGACTAATCATCTTGAAAAGTGGCTTTGTATACTTCAAAACTTATTAGCTATTATATTAGGAAAGATTAACAAAATAAAACAACTCGTTATAGGAAATAATTACCTTTATTGACTAAATGAAAAAAACGTGTTTTGAGTTTTGGTGCGGGTATTACGGAACCCGGGTTCCAAATTACAAGTATAAAACAAATTTATTTACAAAAATCACAAATATAATATTCTTTTTCGCATCCTGAGCAATCAATATGTGCCCACAACTCACAAGATTGGCACTGAATCCAAATTTCACCCTGTTGATTATTTGAGAAACATTCTGAACAAAAAATACAATAATCATCGTGGCTTGTGGGCTGAGCTTGTGTGGTATAATTTTCTGCCACCGCAGTTTTACCTGAAGAAACAGATGACATCGTAGTATCCGAAGAGGAAGATTCCCGCCTGTTCGAGCGAGATCTAGAAGGGTTTGGCATACCCTGCCTTCCACTACGTCCCCGAGCTCTTCCTCGATCTTTTCCTCTCTGCGCTATAGATTTGATTGACTCCTCAAGTTGGTGTTTGTAGGGAGAGAAATTGTATTGAATACATTGCGGGTAATTTGGAACCCGGTTCCATACTACCCGCACCTATAGGGTTCCAAATTCAAAATCTAACTAAATTAACAAATAACCAAGAAAATCACATCTAGTTAAAAGATACATTAAAACTTACCTTCGACAATCTAAACTAGTCTGTATGGACTCCCTATAACACGCACAGAATTTGTCTTATACTAAAACAAAAACCTTTTACAGTTTTTCCAACGGAGAGAAAAAAACGTTTGATTTTAACGTGAAATGTTAGCTGTGTGTGACAGATCAAATTCGATGCAAAATTGACGTTATTGGTAGCAAATATGCTCTATGGTATCAGTACAACGTAGTTACATAGTTTTTTGGTAGATGTCACTGCCTGTTTCTGTGATATTAAAGGGTTCCAAAAAAACAGCAGGGTCCAAATTACCACCCCTTCCTCTAATTAACTCATCGAACTTACTTAGTACATATCCCATAACATAACGTTGGTTTTCTAAAACGCTTGATCGAAGTGGTATGACTTGACTTATATTTTTAGACTATGACGTAAGACAAACAAAATGGAGTGTCGACCGGACTCGGACTTAATTACTTAATCCTTAGCACAAATTAGAAAGGATGACGGTCTTAACTTTTATTGGAGTACTATTTTTGGATAAACATGCCGTTTTTACCCAACTGCGTCAGAAGGAGGGTTATGTATTTTTAACCGACTTCAAAAAACACATTAGTCTGCAGTCAACAGCACATCAGTCTCTACATTTCTGTCGCAAAACAAAATCTTATTACCACTACTTAAGACATCAGTATATGTATACAGGGTGTCCCAAAAAATACTGTCAAGCCGAAGCCCAGAGGTGGAGCATCACTAGGGCTACCCGAATTCGCGACTTTTGATACTTTTCGAGTTACGTTTTTTTACAACTTACAGCATTTTTTACTTTTTTAGTTTACATTTGTATTGTGGATGTAAATACCTGAATCAGCTAGGCCTAGTATCCATCTAATATTAATAAAAAAATATAAGGGACGTACCTTATTTATTCGCACCATAATGACCAAAATTTAAAACAATCATATCTCGAAAACTATCAAAAATCGCGGAACATACATAGCCCTTGATGCTTCACTTCTGGGCTTCAGCTTGACACTACTTTTTAGGACAGCCTGTATATCTTAATGTGCCTTCTATGACCATTGTATGTCACTTCCAATCCAGTAGATTACACAGACATTAACTAATTGATATACGCTAGTTACTAGCTGGTCCATTGATTTCTGTATTATAGCTAATGCGAATGAATGGACACTTGGCCAGGTGGATTACAGCTGTATGTGATAATATCGCATTGTAGAAGCTGAATAGTGATTATACAGGGTGTTAGGTAAAAGGGTATATGATCCGACACTAGCCCATGTTAACATGGGCATATAAATTGTATGGTGAAGTGAGAAAATTGATATCTTCATTCTTCAATTATAATGAAATAAAAATATCAAATTTCTGACTTCACCATGTTATTTATATACCCATGTTAACATGGGCTAGTGTCGGCTCATATACCCATTTACCTAACACCCTGTATTGTTAGGTATTCTCCATTTTACCTCCCTAAAGGCATACTTCTCATCATTATCGTTCCAGAGTAAGATAGGCATGAATACAGTTAAAGTACAGATGTGCAAAATCAAATAAAGTAAAAAACCAATTCACATTAAGGCTCTTTCCTACGTCAATCCAGTTTCAGATATAGATTATAAAGCACTTAAAGGAGGTATCTAATACCTTGACTCAGTGCTTGACAATAATTTAATTTCAAGTCTAATGCATACTAGATGAGATAGAAACTATTAACCAGATTAGTCAATTATACTGGTTTGGGCCTAATGTATAATATTATAATATTAGTCAAAGATATGTTGATGTGATAAGCTACTTAAATCTCACACACAAATTAATCACAAGTATTAATTTAAGCTTGATAATATTAGTGACATAACTTAAAATTGAAGACCACGAAATTGTACTCTTAATACATTAGTGATTTAACTCAAAATGTTGTTTGTTTTTTTCAGAACAAATGAAAATTAATTGTCCAAAAAACTCAATAATTAATCTTAATTAGTAACGCAAAACGCGATTAATCCACAGCTTAAATTTTTCGTCGACTCTGAAAAACGTCACATTTCGAGTTACACCACTATCGAAATGCTGAACATTCCTTTTAGTTTACAGTTGGCTAAATTGGAGCACTTTGCAATCACTTTCCAGCCCATTCAATCACAAAGCACTCCAGAATTCTAGGTAATCCCAGGAAAGGAGGATACAGGCTGAAATTCAGGATATTTCGGCAGAACCACCGCAACTCAGTTCGCATGTGGCACCGATAAATGTTCTATTTCCTTGCTCGGTTTGTATGGTTTGGTAGCACTACATGTATGGATTAAAATATGAAAACGTATTGACAAGCCCTCAATAACAAACAATGATATTAGGTAATTATTTACCTATGAGATGAGTGTTTTGTATGGAGAATTTCACGATAGTATTTTTTTCCATACTAACATTTTTGCGATTTTTTGAGGAATCACAATTTTTTTTTTAATTAGTATCTGTATAAAAATATTTTTATTTTTGTAACGGAAACGGAATTCCGTAAAATCCGTTTAATAATTGTAATTAAAAAAATAAAAATAAATTAAACAATTCATACGTAAAAGTAAGTCCTGGCAATCAAATTTCAAATAAAAAAGAATGATAAACTATATGTATGAAAGAAATTATACTAATGAATATTGAAGAAAAAAACGCTAATTTCATAACCTAATATTCAAACTGTCGAAAAAGAATTACATTTAGATTTCTGGGCTAATTATTTTAATGCTTACTAATTAGTCAAACTAGGCCCATTATCCTATAAATACATGAGCATAAGATTGGATACATCTAAAAAGAAATGATTTCGTATTTCATTATAAAATACGGGTTCCGTTTTTTTCTTTTTGAGGTACGGAACCCTCATAAAAACGATCGCATTGCACCGCGCGCGTCTGACATTATTTTGTTTTAACTCTCATATTAAATGAAGCCCAAGTAATATAAGAAAAAAAGTATATTTTCGAAGGACCGGTGCCCTTGAGAAGGTTGCGGGAAGCCCCTGGCACTGCAGGACCGGTCGTTGTTGAAGTCCTTGGAGGAGGCCTTTGTACAGCAGTGGACGTCTTTCGGTTGAAAAGTACAAAGGTTTAAAAGATTATAGATCGTTTCATCCACGAAGACGCGCCCCACCAATTTTTGGTAGAGGGAAGCGCGGGGAGTTTGATTCGAGCAATCCGAGCGTCATTATTGTAGTGTGCGTGTGCACTCATGGATGACTTAGCGTGTACCGATAACACTCAAACATTAGTGGAAGAATGGTGGGGTGCGTCTTCGTTGATGAAACGATCTATAGTAAAAAGTGCTATCGCTAAAAGATTGAATTGAGGGTCAAGATATAAACTTGAGTCATTGTTTGCGCAAGAGAATACAAATAAACTTTCCTCTAATGGAAATACGATAAAGTTTCTCTAAACAAGAAAATCTAACCCGACAATTTACAAAGGCTTCTTTATTAAGAAATTTTCAATTAATTAGTGTTGTTTCAACTCGATACTAGATTTCGTTTTGTAGGTAAACTTTATTTTTATTGAGTCACGGTCTATTTTCCTTCGGTACGCAATAAATTGAGGTGGAAAGGTCGGCTTTCAGATTTTCGATTTACAAAGAAATGTTTGTACTGGATGGACCATGATTGGTTTTTGAAATGCATTTTGTTTGTTATTTATTCATTCAAAATAGTCAGTAAATGTTTGCATTCTCACTAATTTTCAAATATTGAAAGTCACTTTGTCTAAAGGGGTCAGCAATGGACTTTAAAGTACACTAATATCTTTGGGATTTTGTCGCCTTAAGAATTTTCGTTTATTTGTGTCCGACATTAATATCGTGGAAACAAAAATATTGAAAAATTGGATAGAGTATCGACGAAGAAGTGTACCGTAAAGTTTCTACGATACGACCTCGCATCGTAGCACTGCGTGACGTCGTAGCACGATGTAACGTCTTATCGTGTTTATAAGTAAGACTCAAAGCATACAGTACGTTGTGGCGCGATTGCGTCTGCGACATGCATAGAAAATAATAATCTATGGCGGGCACACAAGCGGTGCGGCGTCGCGTCGCGCGATTCTGCTTAATCCATGCGGTGCGGCGCCGCAACGCATCGTGTGCTTTGGCTTTACNGATGTCCAGACAAGCAACGTGTAGCTTAATCAGCGATAGTCCCTAATTGGTTGATATCTAATTATTTTTACAAGATTATAAAAAGACTAAAAGTATTAGAACATACGAGTAAGGCTAAATGACTAGAAAATTATTCATTTTCATGATTGATAAATTATTTTTTGTATCGATGAATGTGGACTGAAAATACCAGAAACATAATTGATTGAAACTAAATCTTTTCTTGTCAATAAACGTTTCTAACAGTTTAGTTGCATTTTTTTGTATCTTTGACATTCTTAACATTTTGACTTGTGTTGCACCACCTAACTTTAACCGTAACTAACCTAACCTAACGATAACCGGTATTTTTTGTATGGACTTTGACAAATTTTTGGCGTTTGTTTAAGTTAAAGTAAGTTGGTGATTATTATACCCAGATATTTTCCATTTAATATCTATTTAATAGAGAGTATCTATCAATTCACATAGCGATTGCAATCTCCATCAATGTAATTGCCTTCTGAATAACATTTTCTTTAATACCAGCATTAGCTCTAAGCACAAAACAGTATCTTCATTGGATTTTCTCTGTATATTTTAAAATTTACTTCCTGTGACGAAGTAAAATACACTACCGTCGTCTACGATACTGGAGTTTTGCTGCACTTTTTATTATAAAAATACTTTCAGAAGGTGCTTCAGTTATGCGAAAGGAATATTGTCATTATCTCGTAGAATTTTTATCTTGGAGGTAAATATTGCGTGGATAACAGGTTTTGTAAGCACTGTGTTCATTTTAAATTACTTTTGAAGACGCTTTTATGGTAAAGTGCATTCTAGAAGTGCAAAGTAGGAAGAAAGTGATTCAGAATCTTTTTAGGGTTCCGTAAGTAAATAGGTGAAAATAAAAATAATGAAGCTGAGGTTTCTTCAATCCGGGTGAAGCTCGCTTCCACCTTCGGCCTGATCATCACTTACCATCAGGTGAGATACAGACCTAGAGCTTCCTCGATGTGGATAAAAAATGATAAGTACATATTTATATTTATTCTTACTCATTTAAGGAAACCAAAAAAAGTTTGATTTAGTTACTTATATCTAACGCAAGCAAAGTTTACTCATAGAAAATTGCGAGAAACTCTATTATACGATTAATACCTACAAAGAAAGC